CCCCCCCCCCCCCCCCCCCCCCCCCTTCGCCTCTGCCCCCAACCTTGGCCCCCACCCCCCCCGCCCTCACCCCTTACCCCCCACCTCACCCCTACCCCTGACCTTTACTTGGAAATGAAGTGTGTCAGGGGTTTAGGGCATGCCCGGACCCCTTGCCTTTTACTTGGAAATGAAGTGTTTGAGGGGCTCCAGTGCATGCCCGGACCCCCCGCCCCCCCCCGGCCCACCCCGCCCACTGCCCTCACCCCTTCGCCTCTGCCCCCAACCTTGCCCCCCCCACTCACCCCTACCCCTGACCTTTTACTTGGAAATGAAGTGTGTCAGGGGTTTAGGGCATGCCCGGACCCCTACCCCCCACCTCACCCCTACCCCTTGCCTTTTACTTTTTTACTTGGAAATGAAGTGTTTGAGGGGCGCCAGTGGCCTGCCGGACCCCCCCCGCCCCCCCCCCCCCCACACAACCCAGTCGCTCCCAACCTTGCCCCACCACCCCACCCCCCCCCGCCCTCACCCCTTACCCCCCACCTCACCCCTACCCCTGACCTTTACTTGGAAATGAAGTGTGTCAGGGGTTTAGGGCATGCCCGGACCCCTTGCCTTTTACTTGGAAATGAAGTGTTTGAGGGGCTCCAGTGCATGCCCGGACCCCCCCCGCCCCCCCCCCGCCCACCCCCGCCCACCCCGCCCACCCCGCCCACCCCGCCCACTGCCCTCACCCCTTCGCCTCTGCCCCCAACCTTGCCCCCCCCACTCACCCCTACCCCTGACCTTTTACTTGGAAATGAAGTGTGTCAGGGGTTTAGGGCACGCCCGGACCCCTAACCCCCACCTCACCCCTGCGAATCACTGGCCTAGTGATCACCGCCAAATCAAAAGCCCAAAGGACGCGCCATCCTTTTCGCCAAGCTACCGAGAGCCGCAAAGCTTCGGTGAACGGGCTGAACGTTCACAAGACAAATCGGCCCATCAACAATCGAGACACGACAGGTCAGGCATGCCCTTATTGCACTTTCACACTGGTAACACTCTCTTTCTGACCTGTCGGCTGTACATGGAGTTTACTCCGTCTCTTGATGGCCTTCTCTTGAAAAAGCAATCCCAAGCTCAATTGTTCCCTAAGATCAGCGCCTCGATTAGCCTTCGTAAGACCGTCAGCCAGCTGACATCTGGTAGGAACCCACTTCAATCGAGCTTTCCCGGATGCTTCTTGCCCCTCACGTGTTGTAAGGAGCTGTCTCAGCAACACCGCATGCACGATGCTACCTTTCTCCCCTACGTGTTGGCCGTCTTTATGAACAGTATCGTATATGCTTCTACAATCCGTAACTAAGGTGACAGGGCACAGCTGCTGCCAACCATCGTCTTCAACCGCCGAAATGATCTCCGATCCATACCTAATCTCCCCTAAAAGGACTTGGGCAAATCGGGACATGTTCTGTGCCATCAACGCTCCATGTGTCTCGGCGGCAAAGGAGGATTCCACCACCCGACGGTTTGTTGCACTTTTCCAGTCTATCAAGTTAAAATGAGCTCGGCCTTCTTGACTGGTACTGCCTCGTTTCACGAAACCAACACATGCACCTTTTTGAGAGTACACAAGCTTCTTCTCATGTCCTTGTTGCAACAAATCCTCGCACTCTCTCTCATCCAACTCCACGCCAACACTGCTGTACAATCCGGCATCATGAAAGGTGACTAACTCCGCATCATGTCCGAGTGACTTAAACACGATCTCAAACCGATTACGGATCACTTCTTTCACAGCCTTGTTGGCCCTAAGGAGATCTCTCACTCTCAGGTCTGACACTCGTTTCTGCAACTGATTGCATTCGAACGCAACATCAGGTCGGCTCTGGACTGTCAACCACTGCAGACTACCCACCACAGACCTAAAGTCGGTTTTCTCGATATCCGTAGCTAAACAGTCCAGCTCTTTTGCACGAGCCCCACTGATTTGCATAGGCTGCAGTCTCCCGTCGATGAAAGCGTTCTGAGTCAGGACGATACATTGCTCACCGTCTCGGGAATCGAGCTTGATTTCTTTTCCGCAGTAGCTCACACCACATTGTTGCTCAGACACCTTCATCCAAGTTCCGAATGGGAAACGTGCACACAAAGCCTCTACCATATTCGCACCTTGGGTACTTCCGTCGTGGGCAATCATCACGTCATCCACGTGTACTATCATGAGCCCTCTCAAGGCTCCGGCACTGTCCCTTAGGGCAAACATGGCAGGATCCACTTGGCATTTGCTGAATCCAAGTTCTGTCTCCAAGATACGCGACAGTTCATCGTACCAAGCACGGGGCGCATCTGGTCGTCCGTACACTGGTTTCAAAAGCTTTAGGAGTTGACCTGGCTTCAACCCTGGCAAACCTTGTTTGGGCTGCCTCATGAACATGTCGGGCTTGTCTTTCAAAGGAGCCCCTTGGAGAAAGGCGTTCGAGATGTCTCCAATACACCAGTTTCCCACCCATCCTAAACTGATGACTTGATGAAGGAACACCATAGTGGAGACACGTTCGATGGTAGGCGAGTCAACCTGCACCTGGCCTGATCTGCTGTCAGGACACAAGTGGCCTTGAATGCACAGTCTAGCTTTAGCCTTGACCGGAAGTTCGTTTCCATTCGCATCCCTCAACCCTGCATTCTTGTTTCGGAAAACATACCTACTTGGCAGGATCCGTTCCGGCCGTTCTTGCTCGACTGCTTCACTGGCTTCAGGACTTAAGATCTCGCAGCTGTCATACTCAAGCCATGAGTTCCATTCTTTTTCCTCCGCCGCCTTATACAGGCTCCTCTGCTCTTGGGGAATTTTATCGAAAGGGATTTCCTTTTCCATCATCTTCTTCAGTTTGTTCTTGCTCTGGGTGGCCTTTTGGTAGACGGCATGAACATGAGCATCAGAACTGGTGGCTTTCCGTCTTTTCACCCCCATAGGGACATCATCCAAACAAACCTCCTTTCGATTCCGATTTTCGAAAATCGTGATCAGGCCGGCGGCTGGTCCGTTCGGAATAAACTGATGTTGTTGCTCAAGTTCTAACCACTTCACTTGTCTTTCCAAACATTCCCATTTGCCTTCCCTATAAACCCAGGACGTCCGGAACGGAAACTTGTGGCTTTCGTACTCTGGCTCAGGACTGCGAAAAGACCACACCTTGTGAGAAACAAGCACAGGATTTCCAACTCGGTCAACATGCCACCCTCTCCTTCGGCTCATCCTAGCATGTTCAAGACTCAAGCCAGCTACGGTCTCAACATCAACATCAACATCCTGCGCAAGTTCACGTGCAAACTCTTCCTGTTCCAAGGCCTCAGGCTCATTGGCTGGGCCCGTCTGTCCCAGGAGATTCTCATAGGGCGCTTCTTTAGGGATCTTTCGGAACAATGAGATGGCTTGTTGAAGGACTGGTTCCCCAAAATGTTTCTCATCACCAACTGCTTCCCTAAGGTGCTCCCCCGCCACTAAGAAGCACCTTCCACCTGCAGCAACCCACGCGTTACCTCCCTGGAGCCCCACAACATATCCCGGACCTATCCAGCGGCTTTGGCTATCCCTCTTCTTACTGTTTTCGGCCCGCCAGAAAAACACAAGTTGTCCTATCTTGGGAATGGGCAATCTTCGGGTCCGGTTGTGGGCGGTCCGGAGTAACATTTGCCGAGCCTGACTCTTAATGAACTCCATCTTGGCGTGATACCTGTACCGCATTCGATGGGCGAGTTCGCTTCCCTGGTCTCCTACCGCAGGATGATATGCTGTAGCGTTTCCTCCTTGATGGAGCTCACCGTAAATCCGAGGCTCTTTCC